GGTTTAGGGGTTTAGGGCTTAGGCCCCTACAGAAAGTTCGAAGGTTTAGGGCTTTGGGAGTCTTTCAGGTCCTCCTGTGCAGTTTAGCCAACAAGTCTTCGACCGCGTGATTGGCACAACGAGCACTGTTCTGAGTTCCAGTAGTTTAGAGCCCTGTGCCCACATCCTGAATCCATTGCTGCCCTAAACCCTAAACCCTAAACCGTTAGGAGGTCATGGGTCCGAATATCCAAGGACTGTAAAACTACTCGTTCTCAGACGCCCAGAAACGAAAAGGGGGCGGAAGGGCAGTGCAACGGCAAAGTTGATCTTCTCCATAACCTCGAAGGTGCTCGGAAGGCTGGCAAGGGCTTTGGCTTCTCACTTCGCCCTTCTTATACTGATCCGATGGGCTTATGGCGCATCGGTCTTAGCTTCGTCATACAAGAGCAGAAACCGTGCTTATTTCCAACGACTCTGCGATCATGCTTGCCAGGCCATAGCCAGGCACTGAAGCTTACGCAAATTCCCACGGGACCCTCTCCCAAAGGCAGAAAGCAACAAACCCCAAACCCTCAACCCCGAATTCCAACCCTTCGCAACCCTAAACTGCAAACTCCGAAACTCCCATATAACCCCGAACCCCCTCCCACCCTAGCCCCCAAACCCCAAAGGGTTCCAGAGCCCTAAAGCTCTAAACCTGGAGGCACGAAAGGCCAAGGGACACCAGATTCATACGAATATCAATACTAATATTGATACTAACTTCCATGATTCATATTTTGATGTTCATATACTCATAAGTGTGTTTAACCTTACAAGTTTCATGATGAATGTCCTCATTAGTCTTATGAGTATTATACTTGCTTTCACCGCTTTTGATTACTACTTTCAAAGGCCAAGGGACGCCAGCCTCGGGCCAACCCAGATGCCTCTTTAGCCTCTCCGAGCAGAGCTCCTCCTCTGCCTTTTTAGGGGCTTAGGGTTTCGGGTCTGGGGTTTAGGATTTAGGGTTTGTCCAAGAGACACGGCCCGAACTAGTTACGTCGCTAAAAACCCCTATGTACCTCCCCTGTAAACCCGAACAACCCCTAAACGTCCTAAACCCTAAACCCCTAAACCTCCTAAACTACTAAACCTCCTAAACCCTAAACCTCCTAAGCTACTAAACCTCCTAAACCCTAAACCCCTACACCTCCTAAACTAATTACTAAACCTCCTCAGCTACTAAACCTCCTAAACCCCTAAACCTCTAAACCTCATGCAATCTCTGCGCCCCTTCGCATCGCCAGCCTGCGAGACTTCCGGACTGGGCACTCCGACCCCAGCCAGCGCCTGAAAACTCAAAAGACAGGGGGGGTTTAGGGGTTTAGGGGTTGGGTTTGGGGTTTAGGGTTTAGGGTTTAGGGTTTAGGGTTTAGGGTTTAGGGTTTAGGGTTTAGGGGTTGGGTTTAGGGTTTAGGGTTTATAACAAGGCTTAGGGGTTGGGTTTAGGGTTTAGGGTTTGTAGCAAGGCTTAGGGGTTATAACAGTGTTTAGGATTTAGAGCCTTGGGTTTAGGGTTTAGAGATGAAGGTTTAGAGTTTAGGGCTAAAGGTTTGGGGTTTCAATAGGCGGGTTTGAGGTTTAGGGTTTCGGAGTGAAGTAGGGGGTGTTTATACTGTGGTTCCGGATTCACAGCGTCTAATGGGGGGGGGGTTCTTTCCTTATGAAGTTTCTTAAAGGATCATGGGACTTAGTAATTAGGGTTATAAATAAGGTAACTATAGTTATAATTAAGTATAACTCCCATTAACATACTTATAACCTTACTTACTAAGTTTCATGATCCTCCAAGTTTGCAGGGTTCCATCGAGTCTTGAAGTTTACGGGCCTAAGGACTTTAGGGCCTCAGAGCCTTTGGCCTTCATGGGTCGCAAGCTTTCGCCTTGAGGGCCGAATAGGTTTTTGGTTTAGGGTTTAGGGTTTAAGGTGTAGCCATTTTGGCTCAAGTATTCTGGCTCTGGCAATGTAGCGCTGTAGAGGTGCTCAAGGCTTTCTGTCCTCTGAAACAAGTTGCCGCAAGTAGCTACTGGTCTCTTTGAGAGGTTCAGGCCCGCCTGGCCAGGAGTGCTACAGCCGGACATCCGTGTCAGCTTAGAAAACAGATCTGTCTCTTTGAGCGTCCTCCTTTCGCTTTTAACTTGATCAAGTTTAAGGTTTAGGCTTTAGGGTTTAGGGTTTAGGGTTTAGGGTTTAGGGTTTAGGGTTTGGGGTTTGGGGTTTAGGTAGGCTTTCTGAGGTACTAAGGCTGAGGTTACTATCAAGGATGCTAAACAGGAGGATTACGATACTTCCAGGGCAACTTTGAGGATTACTATAAAGGATACTCTCATCGGTGACTCTAAGGGTTACCATCAACACCACCTGAATCAACCCAGAGAGTCGCGAACACCGCCTGCACGAAGGAATGTCGGATGCCCGGCCAAACATTTTGGGTTAGAGGGCTTGGGGTCTTTAAGCCTGCCAAGGGCAAGTGCACTTTGCGGGTAGTCCTCAAGCCCTAAACCCTAAACCCTAAACCCACCCCAAGATAGCGAGTTTACAAACTCTCAAGGCTTGGTTCAGTACATTATCGGCTCAAGCCCCTCTTGCTAGTTTCGACCATGCTCCAAGATGTTCGTCCCCATGATGTAGGGGCCTTAATAATTAGAAAAATGGGTTTGGGGGGGTAGATTATACTACAATTTTGATAAGGATCCCCACATAGTATGTAGGTAATTAATTTAGGCTCCTATATTAGCCTAAAGCCTGATGTTATGCAAGCGATCGTCCGTGCTTTCCAGTCCGGAGAATCGGGGGACTGGGCTTGCAGGACAGGCAACCAACAGCCGAGCGGGCAGAGCGGGGCACCCCACCGGTACACTTCAGCGTAAGGATATGTTCATCTGTGTTCATATCGTTACTGTGCTGGTACTGTTCCTGATGCTGAACACTCCACCAGCGCCCGCCTACCCCTTAACAGAATTGAGTAGGGTGGCGGAGGAGCTTTAGTTAGGTTCCCTAAAACCTCGGTGCCGCGAAACCCTGATCCTGAAACCCCAACCCCTAAAACCCCATGAACCTTGTACCCTAGAGGCCCAAAGTCTTATCGCCCCTCTAAAGCCAAACAAAACCCCTAAGCCCACGAGTCCCCCAGCTCAAGCCCCCCCCCCCTCCACCCTTACTGGTAAGAATCCTAAACCCTAAACCCTACGTAGCCCTGAACCCCAAAGAGCCCCCGCCTGAAAGGACAAGGAGAGCCGGCTACCCCGCGGCAGTGAGAGCTGCGAGGCTCGAGAGCTCCGGGGCTCTGCCGCCTCGGGCGCACCTCTTTGTTTAGGGCTCTAGGGTTTAGGGTTTAGGGGTTTAGGGTTTAGGGTTTAGGGTTTAGGGTTTAGGGTTTAGGGGTTGAGGGTTTAGGTTTAGGGTGTAAGGCTTCTCTGGTTTGTTTTTGTCTGCCTTTCTTTGGGGTTGTTATGAGTTTTATAGGTGGTTTCATAGGGTTTGGTTTAGGATATAGATATCGATATAAGGTCTAGGGTTTCAGTAAGACTTACCCGCAGTGCTGATATGGATTCAGAATGCGAAGGTTTCGTGCTAGCTTAGGAAAAACCCTCCATCCTAGGCCCAGCCTGCCGCGCAGGCATTGGCTTCTCCACTCGGAGGTGCAGACTTTCCCCCGCTGACCGTGAGAACGACATACCATGCGTAGCCCGCAATCATGATTGCGGCGAACCTTGGCCCCTAAACCCTAAACCCTGATCCCAAAATCCCTAAACCCTAAACACCTAAACCCCCAAATTCCGAAAGCCCCAAATCCCTCGACCCGGCACCCAAGAAGGTTCCTCGAGAATCGAAAAACAGCTGGGGTTTAGGGTTTAGGCTTTAAGGCTTCGGTATCCCAAAAGCCCAGCTATCCATGTGGTGGCAGTCTCTTCCTTAAGCCCTACATCAACCTAATTCTAGTACCCATAACCCAATAACCTGCAAAATGGGCTACTGGGCTTTAAGGGTAAAGTACTAATCTGCGATTGGGACACATGATGGACACCACCTGGAGGAATGCCGCGACGAGCAACAGTGTGTTCGCGAGGCTTCTAAATGCAACATCTCTGGTAAACACCGTGGCATCGACCGGGACACCACTCGGTCCAGCGACCACCATGATGATGGACATCACCCCTGTGCAGGCGAAGAGCCCTGCGCCAACGATACCGCCCAGCCACAAGCTGACGTCGTCTGAGGAGCGCTGCCCGGCCAACGCCGAAACCAGCCCAGCCATGAAGTCGGTGATCGATCCACCCAGGGCCAGGAGGGTGGCCCCAAGCATCGCATCTGACATCTCGAGATCACGGCCGATCTGCACTAGAGCAGGCACCAAGTAGCTGTCCGCAACAACCCCAACCAAGGTGAAAAGGCATAGCAGAATCACGCTCAGTAGCGATAACGTGCTCTTCACGTCGCCGCGTAGCCGGCAGTAATGGAGAATCTCGTAATCAATCTTGCTATCTGGCGTCTCGCCGCATCTCGCTAGAGCACACTGCGCATCCTTGCTAATATCACCATTGCAACAAACTCACGCTGTCAAAGTGTATCCATGTTTCAACTTTAGTTTATCCACATAGCCTCAACTGAACAAAATCAAGCAGCAGGATATCCTCTAAGCCACTCGGCGCCCTCGTCACGAAGCTGCGGGGCCAATAATGCCATGGTGCAATATGCGGGTTCCACATCTCCCCGCTGCATCTCCTCTTGTTCCGTGGCTTAAGGTTCAGGGCCTTAGGGTTATATAGGGCTTCGGGGTGTCGCGCTTCAGGGCTTTAGGCTTAGGGTTTCGCGGTTCAGGCTGGAGTCTTGTAAAGTTATAGCGGTAAGGGCGTGCGCGGCTTCTAACACCGGCCGCAAATCGCTCCGAAAGGCCCAACCCACCAAACTCCAGAGAAGCTGGTATGCGTCTCTTCAGGGTTTAGGGCTTAGGGTTTGAATGTGGCGTCCTGAAAGCCTCGAGCCCTAGACGCTAGAAAGCGTCAGTGCTAAATCCGAGACTCCACGCCCAAGCCTCTAATAGTAGCGGCCTTAATCAGTAGAATAGAAGAGGGTTTCGGGGTAGATTTCACTCTCATCATTATAAGGAGCCCCCCTTCTTGTATAGGTAAGTATTCAAACCCCTAAACCCTAAACCCTAAACCCGATGACGTGCCCTTGACTCAAAGTCCTGGTCGACCTTCATCTGTTCGGCCTGCAGCTCCACGAGCAGTGAGCTCACCTGACTTGCGTTTAGGGTTTTAGTGTTTCAGGGTTTTAGGCTTTCAGGGCTAAATTCTAGGGTTTATAGGGTTTAAGGAAGTTTAGGGTTTAGGACTTGGGTTTTGGTGTGGGCCTATTTGGGCTTACCTAGACCCAGAAATGTAGTACCTTTTTTTGGATGAATTATGTATTTTATGGCTAAGATCCTACAATAAGAGACTAAAGTATCCCCAAAAAGGTACTACATTTAAGGGTCTAGGTGGACATAGGGTCTCAATAGTATCAAAGGAAACTTCCTGCCCTCAAGACGAAGGCTCCTCTACTCACCGAAGGTATGAGTCCAGTTGTCCCCCCTGGCCCTAAACCCGAAGAAATACAGGGAACGGTGAGGATTTTCGATTTATGGATGGAGGGACACATTAGTAAAACGACATATCAGGGAGAAAGTGCGAAGCCAGCCAACGAACCGCAACGCAAGAACATATTGACCAACCCGAATGAATCTAGTCGTCCAAACAACCCGTGCCTCTTTCTCAATCTCTAGACCCTAGCCCCCTAAATTGTCGAAAATCCCTAAACTCCCGACACCCAGGGAAGCTCAACGAACGAGGAGGCGAGCGCATGTGGCCAGGATTGTTGCTTTTCTGAGGGGAAGTGGAGGATACGTTACACCCCGAAATGTGACATGTGCATATCTGCAAGACTTGTGAAACTGTAGCATGGTTCAGAGCTTTAGAAGGAGTTGTTCTCTGCTCCCAATGCCGTGGAAAGACAGGGCCGGGGCGCGTCTGCCTGACATCCATCTCGACTTGGAACTTCGACGAGCATCTGGCCTTGCATGGCACACCTTTGAGAAGGGGATCCGGTCGGCCGCCCTAAACCCCTAACATCCCCTGAAAGAGCGTACTTGAGGGACCCACACAGGAGACATGGGTCTTCGGCTTTTTGCAGTTCGACTCTTGCAACCTCACCTATCCGCATCTGCATAGGACAGCCCGTTGCTTGCGGTTTCCTTTAAGGTTTCATGTTGCTTTCGGAGAAAAGCATGAAGGAGGCAGAGCCCAGAATTATTGGCAATACTATGAACCCGTCTTATAACCCATACATTACTGTAGTACGCACCCCCGATCCCATATGGCTCATGTCCTGCGAGCATGCTGTCTTCGAACCGAAGCCAGGTCGAAGCGGTAAACGCCACAGCGACGATTGTGAAATACTAGCAACACGCTGCCGGCACTTAGCGGCTCTCTGTAAGCATGCCGATGCGCTTGCAACCCCCATCCCACCGCGACAGCCGTCGCTTTGCCAGCGCAGCAACCCCAAACCCTAAATCTCTAAAACCCCCAAACCCTAAAACTCAAAAACCCCGAAATCCTACAACTCTAAACCCCCATATCCTAAAACTCTAAAACCCCCAAATCCTAAAACTCCAAAACTCTTCAACTGCAAAACCCCGGAAGCCCCCTAGAGCGATCGACCAAGACACACCATCTGCTCGCTGATCTGACATGCAGAACAGGGGTTGATGCAATAGAAGAGATTCCGAGAGGAGCCACGGTGTGTTTTGATACCTTATTTCTGTTTATTTTTAGAGAGTTTTCTTGGTTTGGGTTGTTTGTCGTGTGGTTTTCGGAACATGGCCCCCTGGTCCTGCGTGTCCTCCTCGTCTGCTTGGACTTCGTTGTGTAGTTGTTGGTGTTTGTTGTTGATTTTTCGGGTGTCAGGCTTCCACAGCCCTCTCAGCGGAAACTCGTCTCGAGAATCTGGTTTGTTTCTACTGTAACAAGCTATTCTGGAATTGCACTCCACAAGTTTTACATCAAGCTACTTGGGAATTCTGATTCGCAAGGCGCTGTTTAACAGAAAACTGTTGGGGGCTTCCGAAGGCGAGTCCGGTTCATCATCATCATCATCATCATCATCGTCATTGTCATTGTCATCGTCATCATCATCATCATCGTCACCCTCATCCTCATCATCATCATCATCATCATCATCTTCTTCATCATCATCGTCATCGTCATCCTCATCATCATCATCATCATCATCACCATCATCATCACCATCATCATCACCATCAACAACATCATCATCGTCATCGTCATCGTCATGGTCATTATCATAATCATGATCGTTT